AGCTGTATACATGTTTTGTTACAAGATAATACAGCTCATTCTTTGATCGGAGTTGCTTTATAACTCCATGTCCTTAATTCACATTAAAATGCATCAGACATTTATTTGTGTTGTTTTCTAAAATTCTTCACTAGGGTTCAATTATTTTTTCCCACTGTAGATTTATTTAGGCTTATTTAGACTTCCTGTATCACAATAAAACAATCAGTTACACTGCAACATTAAAATATAACTTAAAATAACATTCTTTCTTTTAGAGTTAGTGATTATTTTTTAGGATACATCACTGCAGTAACAGCAATTCTTCAACAACGCTAACAAAACGAACCACCTGGGGGGTTTAATGATAATATAATTACTTATAATAATACTTATTACTTATAATGATAATTTACAATTCTCAGTTCATTTCTGGAGAGTCAAAGGATTTCACAAAGAAGAGTTTAGATTTATCTTTATTCTATATAGCCAAAAATATAAAGCAAAACATTTCATAAATCAGGTTCTGAATTACATATGACCCATTTATGTATTTAAAAAAAAAAGCCAAAAAGTCGTGTATGTAACAGACTGCTGAAGTGAAGATTTATTATTAGTTCGTTTAAAATTTATTATTTTTGTGTGTTTAAAGTAAAGAAATGACTATACGGTAATAGTTCCTGAGCTGTTAGTTACTACTTGTTTTGTTTTTCTAAAATGTTTAAATATGTGAACGAGGCATTATGTTATTAAACATGCACTAATTATCAGATCAGTGCAAAAAGAACCCCAATATATTTTTTGAATGTTTTTATTCCACTACTTTCAAAATGAAACCTGCTGTAGAAGTAAAATGGCCAAAGATCCTTTGACTTTAGTGTTTCTCGTTCTTCTGATTTTATAGCATTCTTTCCTACTGTGGTTATAATATGCTGCCAATTTCAAGATTTTTTCTTTTTAGAAAAAACTTGAAATTGAACTACACACACTTATTTTAACTAGTGATAAATATGGCCAGTTTGGAGAAATAGTTTATGCGGTAAAACTGATGCTGTACAGCTAAAAGAAAAATCTAAATATATGAAATTACGCACATTTTTTTCACCTTTATGCCTGAACATATACTTTCTTGCAAATACACCCACCTTGTCAACAAATTTATCCTGCATATGCTTTAAAG